CGATAAAGATGATGGTCTCGAATTGCCAGCGCCGCTTCTTTAACTCAGATGAGGTCCTGGCCCTGGAGCTGCATCTCAATCCCACATTGTCACAAGATGAAGTTTGGAGCATGATTGATTTCAGTGTCATTTCACCTCTGTGTTGGTGGACAAGAACAGGGCGGTTCTGCGTCATGCGCAGCCATCAGACAATCCTCGAGGCCCTCCTCCCACGGTTTTCAGGGGCAGTTACACGACTAAACGGCATCAACTAGATAATTATCGTGGAATATATTGGGTCTCTTTGTAATTGATTTGCATTGCTCGTTCGGTGTTTTGGTTTTCAAATTTGTCAGCACGCTGAGTTCCTCGCGCAACTACGATCAAGGAGCCCGATCCATTGTTGTCAGTTGTAGCACTCTCAAGACCTTCGGCTAATTTGCCGAGCTCTCCGTCGAGTTTCTGGACTATCCACGCTTCTTCGATTGTTTGGATTATTGATTCTACTCGGACTCAACTGGTAACTATGCATGGTCGGCTCAAATTAGAAATAAGACGCACAGGTTTCACAGCCTGCTTCAAGACATATCGAATGGACCCTTTTCTTTTCTTTGCCAGTGAAGGGTCTAGACTGTATCACCATGACCGCCTGAGCACTAAAGTTGTCACACAGACTAAATGATTTATGTACTCTGGCTCGCTGTGACCTGTAAACTCTGGGACTCAGCCACATCGTTGTCGCCGCCTCCGCCTCCTTCTGTGAGTTACCACTGGCGTGATCCATTTCGTGATTTCCGATTATCGTATGTTATCGTCAGTTGGACGAGGCGCTCAGAGCCGTAGCACATATCTCAGTGCACTGTGTGTTGTCTGTTTGAGCCCAGACATTGACCCTGGGGAGATTCAAGTGTTGGTCCGTTCCTTGGGCGACTGTCGAACAGTTCCTTCGTCTGAGATACACGATGTGCCGACACTGTTGGTCGGAGATAAATGTTTTTATACTGGTGCTGCCAGAGAATTTTGCTCCCTCCATAAAGATTATTTTGGAACTGGGACAGTCGGCCGCCAAAGTTGAGGGTCTCTACACAAGGGTAAAGGCCCTGGGGCGAGACGTTGTTATAGGCCTGAAGCGCCGAGTTCAAACTTCAGAATGTTTGTGTCGTGTTGAATAAGAGCATGGGCGCCTTTCACCGGTAACGTGGAATGAATTGGAACGGGGGGATGACGGGTCTTGGCTTCTGGTGCGCATGGAGTGTAACATGTGAATTACCGTTCTCATCCGATCAGTCTTCGCATAGCCGCGATGTGTTGCTGGCGAAACATCTTGCCATAACTCCAAAACCCAGAGTCGAGCTTTCTGCATCTCAGACGAAAGGATAGCTTCACTTTGGGAAGATGCTCCCAGAGTTATTGAGCATGTACTGGTAGACACTGGCTTTGGGCGTTGTCAGAAATACCGTGTGCCAGGTCAACATTTGCCGAGAGACTGCCTTTAAACTCGACGTGCACAAAACTGTTGGAGAATGTCAAGCAACCTCGGGCCCAAAACTCAACTCGAGATCCTGCGGAACGGTGACATTTTCTACAGGCCCCCAGATTTGGAAGGCATTCATTACCATGATACGTTCATGACCACCTGCGGCACTGTCCTTGGCTCATTACGGACCGTGATCGGGTAGTGATAGTCGGAGCCGCCGCCAAAACCTCACTGCATAGCGAGAAGCTGGTGCATAGAGCCCGCCGTATTGTTGCCGTCTCAACTACATGGTATTAACGGTAAAGCCCGCACCCCGACGGGTGGAAGCCTAGAATGGGTCTGATTAGCATCGATCGTGCCATCGCGGCCCAGCCCGCGATACTGCCGGTGAGGATGACGGCTGCGTTCGAGTTGGTCCCACTGACGCCAGGTGGTGGTGAGCTTGGTGAGCAATTTGACGAACTGCTCGATGCAGCACGGCGAGACGCGCACTGTCAACCCAAACGCCAACGAGCGAGTGTGCATGCTGACGAGACGGACGTGAACGTGAGGGTGAAGGGCGAGCATCGTCTCAACGGCCTAGACGTCAACCAGATCCTTGGCTGGTTCGATCCGACGTTGACAATTATACGTTGTCGGATGCCATGGGCCGCTGGGATCGTTGCATTATCGCTGAGTACCTGCTTTTCATTTTCAAGAACACAGGCTTTTACATGCAGGCCATCTGACAGTGTTTCGACAGGCGGGCGAGACCATCGGTTGATATAGGATGAGGGCGCGGACACTAGATCAGGTTTGACCACCGGGCGCTATGGTCGGGACGGGAGCGGATCGTTCAACCTGCTTCCATACACACAAATATCACAGTCCCACGCCAGTAGAGTTCATTCATGTAGCACGGGGTCGATCATCGCGGGTATTTATGAATCTGCTTGGCTTTCCTGTGACCAGAGGTGATGCGTTTTCAGCGTGGATATGACACATCCACGATGTGTAGGACGATACCTAACACGGGAAAGACATGATAAAGATCCAGGTAAGAGGCCTCTCCGCCCGGGGAAAACCTGTGTTACGAGAACTATTTCATTCATTGTCAACTCGATAAGCGTCCGCTTCTTCGGTGGGTATGAGACGCATTGAGGCGGATGGATTGGATATAGAGACCAGCAGACGGAATGGGATTCGCCTTCAAGAAACCGAGCGTCGTTTTTGGTCAGTTATTGCTTGCTTGTGACTGAAAGATCTATCATTACTGCTCTGGAGATCCGTTGACTGTGGCCGTTTTCCGATCCGCGTCTCAGAGGGCTAAATCTAGAAAAGGTGGGGTTAGCAGCATGCTGCCAAATGTAGCAAGAATGTTTTCACGGTTCCCACAGGTGGCAATGCCTCAAGGAAGGTCTTAATTTGGCTTTTGGCAGCGGGAGATGCCACTACACCGTATGCAGGTAACGAACGATGAGACTCCCCATCGTTGGACTTCTGTATCCATAGTGTTCACCTCGCCGTCTTTGACTGTGCCCAAGTCAACGTGTGAGATCCATTAGGAACCGGAATCGGACGAGGGAAAATGTGGCTCATGGTTCGTCCCATCATGTCGAACCTCAGTCCAGACATGTGGACCTGGTGATCCGACAAGCTCGCTTCGAACCTTCAGCCTCGGTTTTTCCGGATACTTCCCAATCAAGCTTCAATCTCTTAATACCACCCATGTGTATGATCAACACAAACTAGCTACTCAAGTAAGGATCGCAGTGCGCAGGCGCTGCGCCCTAATCAACATTCTGAACTCACATCTGCATAGATTCTCGGTCATGTCATCAAGAACTCGAGAATAACGTATGGAAGCTTGAGATTTCAGACACAGGATGGAATGGTTCGACATCCGTGAATAAATCAAATCGGGGTGATAGGTAGAACTTCTGTGGATTTGCTCGGTCTGAAGGTAACAACTCGAAGGTTTCAGCAAACAACGAACCCCGAACTTTGGCTTCATTACGAACAATACGATTCACCCCCGTAAAGTCTGCCGTGTAGAGAAACTCGTCTCCTACAAACTTTGGAAGAGAACGCCTGCTCAGTAGCAACTTTGCATGAAGATGCCGTCAAAGCCCGCTTGGCAGCATGCCTGATTCGCCCACAATCAACAGTTGGTCGTTGAAAGGAGTCCTCAAGTTAGCCAAGATTGTGAAAGGGACATTTAGGGAAGTACCTAGTAAAGTTACTCCATTACCCTCGGCTTTTGGCATTTGAGGTGTTCGTCATGGTTACTCGAGTCATCAAATTATGACGGACATTTGTGCTCAGTGAAGTGGCCGATTTCAATGTCGTGCAGTGCCTTTTTCTTTTCTTCTCTCCTTCCGCCTTCCACAGAAGATTGCCGTAATTCGACACACATTCTGATTATTACCAACGCCAAACCTCGTGATGGCTCGATTAGGTGGCGGCTTGCTCAACGCTTGAAGAAGAGGCTCAAGCCAAAAACAACCACAGAGAACGATTACTTCGGGGCCGAGAAGGCATTAATCAAATATTAGGGCTTGAAGGAACGATTTGTATGCTGCTGCAATGAGGACCAGCTAGCACATGGCGGAACGGCTTCCATTCGCGTGGTCAAGGTCTGAGGTTTGGCCTGCGGGCCGCATCTTCTAGCCCGAGTCAGACCGAGGCCAGCCAGGCGGAGTCTCGGCAGGGGAAGTCAGTCAAGTATTTGAGAGATAATCCCCATCGTTTAGGCAGGAGCAGATGGTACCGTCAATTAAACGTGTCCGGTATGGAGTTGGAGCGCCGCGAGGCATGAACATTGCGATGGTGGAGTGCCCGGTGTCTTGCGGGCCGTCGCGGTTCTGGTCAGTGGCAAGTCCAGTGTTCAGTGGAGCTGGGGGGGCTTCAGTGGATGGCTACAGTGGATGGTGCCGGTAGTCATCCTTCTCAGGGCCCCGGTAAGAGTTTCAGGGGCTGTTGCCGACCCACACGCTGCAGTGCAGGCGAGAAAGCCGCAGTGATGCGCCCAATAGGTACAAAACATTCGTGATGCCAAGGAAGCAGGATGGATATTATCTGGCGGTCGGACAGCAGGACGGACAAGGCATTGCAGCATCACGGAATGGCCAAAGTCCGTCAAGACATTGGCCGAGAGACTCCATTGAGAACCTGAGACTTTATTTATGAAGGAGCCCTGATCGCAAAGTACAGCAGTCCTTAAGATAGCCAAGACTTCCAATCGTCTGGCGCAAGCAATCGCGGGCCGTGTGATAAATGGACTCTCTGCATCGAGTTACGAAGAAACGGTCCCTATTTAGCATCTTCATCTGCCGTAGGCCTCCCCGAACCGCAAAGGTAGCATCTCTTTTTGATCCTTCGATGTCGGCTCGTTCTGGTGGAACGAAAAAGAATCGTGCCAAACCATAGACTGAGTTTCGCTTCCCACAGTGTCGTTTTGATTCCCCAAAAATGCCCAAAGGTTCCAGTATCTTAGAGCAACGTCTTGTCGCTGCCGGCATCCACGGCAGCTCTCATGCAAAGTCCCACCCAGCTTGCGCAGCCACTACTCCTCCTCCGTCGCTGGAAGCTGGAGTCCAAACGACCCCGTCAAAGATCCATCCAAGTAGACGCGCAGCTTGAAGTCGTCAATGCCGCCGATGACGCTTGTGACGCCGCCGCCAAGGGGGCAGGCGATGGGCAGGCAGTAGGACGGAGCAATCTTGGGCCGCCTTCTCGCGCCGGTGGCTCTTTTTGCCTCGGAAACGAATAGAGCGTGCGCAGACTGCCGGTGCAGGATGATCCATTTCCCAACCTCCATGTGGCCTGCGCGGTCGAGCAGCTCCGCGACGGTGCCCACGGCGAAGGGGCCGGCGTACGTTTCGAAGATTCGAATCATGGCGCGGATGTCGTTTGTACTCCAGCGCCGGTCCTGCGAGAATAATGAGTCAGAGTAGTCTTTTTGAAGATGGGAAAGTGCGAGCGGGCGGGCCTGCCTGGCCACTGCAGTGTCAGAGGGTTTCAAGCTGGAATCTTGGCTGGCGTTCACGGAGATATTTGGATCCTCCTGGGTAGATAGACCAGATGTGCAGTTGGAGAAGATGGGTCGGGAGCTTACCGCTGGAGCCGCAGAGGGAGGGCAAGTGGAGTGTTCAGAGGACGACATCTCGAAAGTTGTCACTTCAGTGCTTGACGTTGGAGTGGTGTTGTTTTGGCTAAGAATTTGGCAAAGTCAAGCGACAAGCTGTTGACGAAGCCCGAAATGGTGCGCTGGGGTGAGGTAGCACAAATAGAAACCTGGTGAAAGGTCCGCCAAGTGATGGCGGTTGGCTCCTGCAGTTGCAGCTGCCTCGAGAAACGAGACGTGGCGGCGTTGGGTCGGCGACTGGAATGGAGGAAGGATCACGGTTCAAAATTGAAATACTTGATGGGAGAGGGGGATGCAGAAGATTATAGACGAGGCAAACGCCCTATGACATGGATGGGTCTGCAATTTTGATGCGGTGGAGGTGGAGGTGGTGATGGTGGCGGTGTTATTGTCACGTCTGTCGATGCGGCGAGTACGTACCTGGGTCGGTGCTACGCGATCCACACCGACCCGATGCCCGGTGAGGATAACTTATCGCGGAGAAGATATCGCGGTGTGTTTATTAGGTGTGTTTTTGTTTTTGTTTTTCGTAGCAGCCAATCTTACCCTGCTACATTCCTCTCTTCGCGACCGGCAAGTTGACTAGGTATACTCGAACCAGCGACCAGCCAGTTCTTTCTCTCTAGTCAGAACAATCTTCCAGTTTGGTTGCAGCTTCTTCGTGTTTGCTTTATCCCATTTTTTTTCTCTCTTCTCGATCGCACCCTTGTGTCACTTCGCCAGCCAGCTTCCATACCTACCTTGTCCAGCGGCAATTCGAGAACATGGCCGACGATGCCAAACCTCACGACCGGGTAAGTCGCTATCTTACCACTTTTTGCGATCTCAACTTATCTGAAGACTAACACGTTGCTAGTCGCTCATCAAAAAGTACCCTTTCACACAAAAGGCAACCCACGACAACTTTGCAGCTTTCGTTGACCAAACGCCCGCCACCTCGAAAGAGGTGGCGGCATTTCATGTTCACGGCCACGCCACTGCAACAGGGGTCGTTAAAGCATACGCAGACTCTGGGGTTGAAGTCAAGACCGCCCATCTTCACTACCAGGCCAAGCTGGCGCTCCTTGAAGACCGTTGGCATGGGAAATGGTACCCCGATGGATACATCAACAACACCCGGGAACCGCCGCGTGACATCGTCGGCCCAATGACTACCCTGACCGAGCTGTGGCTCGCAAATGAGCCAGGGCGCCCTCTGTGGGATCTTTAGGAGACTTCCGCCGAGCGCCCCGGCTACATTACGCAAGCCATGTTGGAGAGCAGTGCTGGCTTCACAGCCAAGAGCGCCCGGAGAGCCTTGGAGCTCTTCAGAGACTACCACCAGATCAAAGGTCCGAAGAAGAAGCAAACCAAAAGCTTCAAGGAACCCACGCCCGAAGCCTCCTCCATTGAGATCGTCAGGCGCGACAAGAGTGCTTCCCAGATATCCGAGCCGACTCTCGACACCAAAGCAGACCCAGACGACCCCCTCTTTGACGAGTACCAGGCCCAGGCTGCCGACCTCAATATGGCGATTGAATCAATTCAGACTATGAATGCAGATCTGTCAGGTTTATCCCCTGCCGGCGCCTCCATGCCCCTGCTCGACTCCATGATGGCGGAAGATCTGGGCCCATCCACAGACATTTTTGACCCGTCCGCCATAATGCAGGACCCATATGACTCTGAGGAGTCATGCATCTCGGCAGACGGCATCATAAGGCACATTCTTGGTCGCCCCGGTATTGATGTAGAGCCCGTGACCGCCGCTGAACGCGGAATAGCGGAGGCCGCCAGGGCTAGGGAGGTGAAGAAGGAGGAGGCCAAGGCCAAACGTCGCCAAAACCTCGCTGAAAAGAAAGAAGCCGCACTCGAAATGACAGAGGAGGAAAAGACCGACGCATATGCGGATGCGTTGGCGAAGGAGGCAGAGAAAATTGGCAGGAAGCTGGGTCTACCAGCGTCGAAAAGACGCAAGGTGGTACGTGATGCACGGGATGCGGTCTACCGCAATCTTTGATCGAGTTTCCCGTCGCTTGTTTCTGTCTGTCTTGTCTGGTTTGTGGGATTTGTTTCTGTGTTTGTTTTGTTTTGCTCTTCTTCCTTTTCTTCAAAAAAGAATTCTTCGACGCTGCAAGCGTCCGGCCCCCATCTTGAACCATTTTCCATGCATTGAGTGATGTAGTGACGTTGTCTGAATGCTCACTGATTTGGAAAAAATGCCCATTGATGGTATTGAGATTGGTCGAGTTGGTTGTAAGTATCCAATGCTCGCACAAACTGAGGACTCGCATCGGCATTTGGTCGCTGTAAGAAAACGTTCGGGTCGGAGGAGGGACATTATGATTTGAGAAAGGGCCCACAGAGCACACTGGAGTGACTTATTCTCTTTGATTGGTTGCAGCGACAGAACCGCTCCATCGCCGCCACTAAGGTACCTCTCAGCTATGACCCTGCTAACAACCCTGCCGTCGATGCAGTAATACAGCCACAACCAGCCAAGCTAGCCATCAGTCAACCGCACGCTGGTCCATTCTGGATCTCTGGACCCGCCGACTACTTTATTTCAACTTCACACATCGAGTTTCCCCGGCCAATTTGCCTGCTTCGCCTACCGATTCCCTACAGCCACGTCAACTTCAGTCGTCCGACGCACACGAAAGCGCAAAGGACAAGAGAATATCGCATCGCCTGCGAGACAAATCCAATCGGTATTCTCATGGCATTTCGGCCTGCTTGGACAGCCCCAGGCCATTTCGCATGCCATTCTTCACTCAGTCTGTGAAGCGAAGCCCGCCAACAACAATGACGAGCGCCTCCCCGCCTGGTGTCATGCGATGCACCACGACCGGTCCTCCCACTTGGAGCAGTTGCCCATCCCATGGTGCCTCAGCCCACCTGCCCCTGCTCCGGTCCTCTCTTTCGCTTTCCTTCCATGATCACCCACGGGCCATGCGGATCACATGACACCTCCGCCGACACCTACCTCCGCTTCATCTTCCTTCCTGCAACTGTCCTTTCGACCTTCCCAGCCCATCGCCTCTCCTTCCCTCCGTCCGCCTCTCCCTTCCCTCGCAGGACTTCCTCTGGTACATCCAGGGACATGTCTCTCGTTGGCCGGTTCAGACTCCGTCCCACATATCCTGATGGCACTTGGTGTCGTCAGAATCGAACTTATGGGTCTCTGGAAGAACGGCGAGCATCTACTGGCCAGGGAGAGTACTCAGGATACATGCCCTCGACATGGGAAAACGCGAGGCAGTGGCCAGTTGTTTTCCCTGGACACCTGCCTCCTTCACCTGGGACGGTCGGGCACGACGCGATAGCCGGCAGGGTCTGGACCAGCCGATCCTGTCTTCTTCACGAGGCGTCCCCGGTTGGCAAGTTGGTGTCATTCGCAGTCACGAGCAGGATTCGCGGGATACATCATCACAAGATGCATCGTCAGCGAGGGAATCTTGTGTCTCTTCCTCGACCATCCTTCATGTCGATCGCACTCTCTCAATGTCGCGGATGTCGGTCAGCCCGTGTCGAATGATTGCAGGCAGAATCCAATGTCTCATCGACGCCCACCAGCATCTCGTCCCGGTCATCACGTCGTGTTATCCGGATTCGCTATTGTGGGATTCACGCCTTGCGCCGATCACTTGGACCGACGGCCACTCGTATCCCGGGTGCCTGAGGTGCTTGAGGGGCCTGAGATGCCTGGGGTGCCTGGGGTGCCTGGGGTGCCTGGGATGCCTGAGATGCCTGAGGTCGTCAGGCACACATCAGGACCTTGCAGCCTGGGTGCCTTGGATGATGCCGAGTCTTTCCCTAGGTACGGACAGAGGTAAGAGGTGCTTTCCAGACAGGAAAGGGCAGTCATGTCATCCTCGTCTCGTGCCCGTCAGTGTTGGGCCCCACTGACCCCAGCCTTTCGTCCATCCGCATCGCACCAGACGGCACACCCACCAATTCCCTCTCTGACCTTTGCGAATTGGTCATGTCGAAGCCAAACCTTTGCCACTGGCTGCCTTCACTCTTTGCTGACGATTCAATCTCACATGGACGGCCGTCTGCTGCGCGAAGTGGCTCGACTTGATCCGAACCAAGGTGCTCTCGGCTGCTGGCCCCGAGGGAGCCAGCAGAACGCGACCGATCCGGTCCTTTTCGACCGCGATGGAGACGGCGTCCCAATGGCATACCTGTACCAGCCAGTTCCATCGATTTCGTTTCATCTTCTATCCGCCAATTTGTGACGGGGGAGGCAAGGCAAAGACCTGCACAACTGCACCACTGCATGCCTACCAAAGCCTGCCAGTTGTGGTAGAACCCCGCGATCGCAGTGGGTGTGGTGCGTCCGTGACCTTTCTCCCTCCTCTTCTACACCAACTCCCACGAGACAGCACCATCTCCAAGTTTGGCAACACAGTAAAATTTCACCAGAACGAAACGCGCAGCGCTAACTCTTGTCCTCGTGTGATCCCTCGCAGCTCTTTTTTCTCTTTGAAGGCTCGAAAACAGAAATCGATGGCCCCCGTCCGCATCGTATCTGCGGAATCCCATACCCTCCGCGAAGTCCTCTACACGTCTTGTCGCATTCCACCTCCGGCACATCTTCCGTTCCTTCGTTTCCCCTTCATGTGGTACTGGTATTGACTCACCCCCACATCTGAATTTCCGAACTGCTTCCCTCCTGTGAAGGGACATTTGGGAAAGGATCCACTAAAGCAGGGACAATTCGTTGTCCTGCGGCCAATCAGAGACCCGTACCATCCTGGGCAGATGGTATGCCCCGCCACGCGCCAATCACACGTAGCCCGTAACAGTGCTAGCCAGTCCAGCGACCATCTTCCCCCTTTGCTAAAGCATTCGCACTTTCGCTGCCACCTGGCCCCTTTCTGCTCGACCGCGCCTCGCGAAATAGTCCTTGCGCTCTACAATCTGAAACCATCCGCTGCGTGCTTGTGATGACTTCTGCTGCGCGCGAATGCGTTAAGCAAATATCACGATGTCCATCGCCTGTGTGGCCACGCTCTGTTATCGACACACACCTTGCCACGGATAGCGATCACACCCAAAACTCCAACAACTCCCGTGCCATTTGTGGGATCCCAGGAGCGGGCGTTGAAACCTGCGCCGGCGTAGTGTTTCAAGGCCCGATGAAGGTTACTATGGATGCTTCGGCGTGCATTCAAATTTGCGAACATCATTTGCACTCATTTGTCAGGGCGAAAAGCATGCACACGCTTCCCCCATCTCCCTTGTTCTCGTGCATGGCGGATGAGGGGCGTTGGATTTGGACCCATGCGTATGACAAGGGTTTCATGGCCTGATACGGTTGACCCGAATGGAACTCCGCCTTTCTCATTGATATCTACCGCTTGAAGGTTGTGTGACGTCGTTTAACTGTGATGCGAACCTTTGAGACAGACATCAGTAGCAAGGCAGCCTGAGGCAAGTCTTGCGACCAATCAGAGAGCCGTAACATCCTGAGAAGATGGTACTAACCCTCACGTGCTAATCACAGTCAAGCTATGACTTTCACCGGTTATGTCCACCTTTCGCTAAGCTCTTTAAGCATATTAAAACGGTTGCTTTTACCCTGCAACACTTCATTCCAGTCAATCATCTGAGCTTTTCGAGAGAAAGCATAGGTCATATCTCAAGACATGAAGTTTTCACGATCGTCCCCCACTCCCCCCAAATAAGCTACCTGTCAATAAATGCGGAAATTACGCAAGAGTTCTGCTAACCTACAAGCTACGACACTGTATTAATCCTAATCAGCTTGTGCCTCCGGCCCTGAAGTTAACAATTTCACGAAGTTATAGATAGACGAATGAAGGTTAAGGCGAGGGTGGTGGAGATCTGACCCCAAGGTTAACTTCATTGACCTATTTAAGAATGGACGCCTCATAGGATTGTCAAGAGTAATAAGGATAAATAATCTGAGAGAATTTCAATAAGGGTATTGTTCGTTTGCTACCCGCGATCTTCTGTACTGCATTCAGACTGATACGAAATCGTAAGGCCTGCTTCCTTAGGTTTAAAAAGGTGTGAACTCCGAACTCCAGAGCTTAAACCAAGTTCAGAAATTAGCGCTCCTTCAAACGGGGGATGAAGCTTGAAATCATCAAGGTGCCAGTTTCATAGGACTGGCATGTCAGTTAAGAAGCTCAACATAACTTGCAACAATCACACACACATTAAAGCCAGAAGAGCAATGAGAAAGAAGGACGAGTTTCAGCAGGACAAGTGTTCCTCTTCAGGGTAATCATATACCCCGGAATCATCAATTGAAAAAGCAAGTAAAAGGCCAGAGGGGTAGAACTGCCCCCAATGTGAAGCAAAGAGTCTCCCTTGAACCAGTGAAGTCTTCCAAGCGAATGTAAAAAGGAACAGTGTAACAACGAAGGAAGAAATAAAAAGGAATGACTCAATGCCGGCGAGGATTTGTCCGCTATTCCGGATTTCCTGCCAAAAAGATGGCCTTGTAGTAGGCTCTCAGCGCGCTGGTCTCCAAAGGCGGCGCGGTGTAGTTGGGGATGGAGGCTGCGGTCAGGAGATCAGCTTGACGCATGACAAAAAGGCCGCAGTCATAGGTATTGGGCTGCTGCGGGCACTGCATTGTTTCATGTTAGTTAAACCGTGTCTTGTGACCAGGAACATCTATGCTACTCACCCTGAAGTTGACGATTGGTTGCAGAAGAGGTTTTGACGGTGCGATGCGATTAGCAAAGCGGATAAATTCTCTTGTGGCCGTGGTTCGGTTGCCCTCACTGGCCATGGAATCATAGAACCTGACGGTTCCGTCGCTGCTCCAGGCGAACAATACCCAATGCTGATTGTCTATGTTCACGGGCACGAGTATAGTGTCCTTGTCGCCATGCGCTTGCTTGAACTTCCGCTGGAGTCGTTGAACTTCTCCGACTTCACTTTCGGCGACAGCCTTGCTTACAATCGGGTCGATTGTTGAGAATCTCTCATCTCTCAGGACCAACTTGCTCAACACGAGCGTCACAGCCGTATCGTTCATCCAAAGTGCTTTGCCGAAAAGTGGGAGCGTCTCCTGGATAACATTGCGTCGGTTGGCTAGAATCAATGTATTCCCGAAAGCAGGCCTTGGGCCATAGTTAGTCTCTAGGTTGGCGGAGACAATCTCGTCGATAGCTTGGAAAGCGCTGGCGTACGCCCTGTCGACTGCCTCTGGAGCTACCCGCAAGACATTCTCAACGACAACGGAGCTTTCTCTGTCGCTTGGGCGGGGATTGGGCTTGATTCCGTGAGTTCTATCAGAGTTGGTGCTTGCAGGAATATTCTTGGTGCTGCGATGGGCCTTGGTCTTGTCGGACTCCTTGGTCTTCGATGAGGGGTCAAAGGGCATGTACCACTTTGGCGTCTCCTTCAACGGCGGATGGGTAGGCAGGATCTAAAACGAGTTAATTAGTGTATTATTCTTCCAATAAAAGTTGCGTGTTTTGACTGGAACTCTATGGGAAGTAACCACGTACGATGGGAGGGGAGGTTCGCGGGCCCAAGGGAACACCCTCACTTTCGGCCGATAGCCTCTTCAGAATTCCATTGGTCAGGAGCTGCCCTCTGACAATCTTCTTTTCGTTTTTGGTACCCATTTTCGCGCGAACCTTCGAGGTATGAAGCCTTGGTAGTTAGAAAGAACTATGCGAAAAAAAGAAAAAAAAAGGGATTCGAACAGGTGGGCAGATTGAGCAGTGTTGTGACGGTGGGAAGTTGCGAGCGTTGTGTAATTAGACATGCGAAGGTCGGGTATCTCGCTTTGACCGGTAGTTCAGTCTTGAACGGCCCAAACTTGAGTCGGAAGTGCGGTTTAGGCCGAGGCAATCACGCGGTTGTTGCTGGTCGGGCTGCTGCGGTCGGCACTCATTACCCCTCAATAGTCAATACCGCCTAAAGGCCAACTCCAGTAGTCGCTTAAATTAATCATTTTCTACTGGGTTACTTAAATCTAGGGCAAAGTAGACCTGCTTCGCGATAATTCTAGGCACAAGATATCATGCAGTCAAATAATAAGGCTGGATATCAGCGCGAAAGAGTCCGCTCTTCTCAGCGATCGAACAGTCGTTTTTCAGGGATGGAGGGGATGATACTACCCACACGCCAGATGATAGATATCTATAGCAAATCTAGCCAGTTATTCTCACTTATGACTCCTTAAAGCGGTCAACTGCATCAACCCTGCATTATCTTCAAACAAAACCAGCTTCTAGTACATGTGATGAGAGCGACGCAGCTCTAGTTGTTGATCCCCTCCGTCACAGGCGCACCTTCCCTTTTGACAAAAGCCGACCGGCCTGCCTACCGATACGGGGTTTCCGGATCTACCTCGTAAACTTCAAGCAGGTTGCCCTCCATGTCATATACACTAACTTCCATGTCACTGATCCCGCCAAATATCGAGAACTGGCCCTTTGTCTTGTGGGCGATGGGGGCATCGTGTCCTGGGTGGTTGCGCTGACCACGGGCGACTTGGATAGCCAGGGCCGACTGTCGAAAGTTGATTATGTGCGCTGCCACATCGGAAAAGTCACGGCGGCCGAGCATGCGAACGACGGTGCCAAGGGCAAAAGGACCGTACTGCGTCCTGAAGAAATTGTGGATAGCTTTGAGATCGTCCGTTGTCCAAGGAGGGTCCTACTTCTGATTAGATTGATAGGTAAGTGATGATGTTGAGATGGGCCTACTCACTGCTGATCGCATCCATGGGGGAGTGATGATCTCTGCTGGAGGAGACGAGAGGGGGCTCGAGGTGGGGTCAGTTGTCTGCTAGAAGAATGGTCAGCTGGAAACGCCTTGGTTAGTGAATGGGTAAACATACGCGCTGCGGAGTTCTGGGGTTCTGCATCTCGGTGGGCTGGTCAATTTCCATTTCGGTGCTCCCTAGACTGGCAGAAAGCGAATTCCTCATGGCCAGTATTTCAGGGAGGGCAGGAAGCTCATGGGAGGAGGCTCTTGCTCCAGCCGCCGCGGGACTGTCGGACTCAGAATTTCGTAGGATCGATGGGGTGGATGGAATCTGAGGGTCACTAGACGACATCTTTGATGTGATAGCGAGGTTGAGATACGAATGCGTTAGAAGAGAAACAGCAGCTAACGATAAATCCCCGTCGTTGTGTAGTTGGTGTTGAAGTTGTAAACAGGAGGTTTGGCCGTGGATCTCTTCAGAGCCTCGTCGACATCAGGTATGGCCTTCGCGCGGCGATCGCGCGCACCTCGAAGACTTGCCCTACGGCACCTTCCTCCAGTCACCATTGTCAAAAGCTAAAATATCTGATTGGCTGTCTTCTTTCGCGCTCTATTGAATAGCACGACGCGCCGGAGTCGAGACTCGGTTGCCGTAAACCTCGCTCTCTCCTACTCTCAGAGAGTGATGTCTCGGATTTAACTACGTAATTGGTCTCCATTATTCGGCTGCAACCGCCCATAAGGCCTCTGCACAAACGGTCCATTAGCTAATGTCTGCATACCTATTCTCACACATGCTAAGTCCTGTCATTCTATCTACCACGCAATCTATTGAGGCATGGATCCCAAGCCTTTTGAGAGAGATGTTTTCGAAGCAACACATCTAAAATCCCACCGCTCCAGTTTATCCAAATCCACGTCTCATCTGTTCATCCCAGAAAAGTATTCTCAGTAGACTATGTAGATGGAAAAGATACTGGTCAGTGTGGCCCATTGACCATAGCTTGGGAAATTCATTCATGAATGCGCGCATCTCATGCTACCGGTGAACGAAATAAAATGAAATATGAAGTCAATACTGGGAAAACAGCCTTTACTGAAAGTAAGTCTCGATATCTTCGCAGAAACTGGGGCGGATAGTGAGGATGGCAGAATGGAGATTGTCGATAGGCCATTCGAGCCTGTGAAGCGTCAGACGGAAAGCACTGCTGTGTCTGATATTTGGCCCAAGTTTGAAGTCATTTCGGAAGGAAATTAAGACTCCTCGCAGCTATTATGTGGATTTTGACCTCTCTGAGGTGAGTCAGGCTTCAGGTTCTCACAGAGACCGAGAAATATGAAGGCGGAGCACGGCGTGTGATTTTGACATCGCCGCTGCTCTTGCCTGCGACGCGAGTGCGGACGATGGCCACAACGCACATTCTGACGTTTTTCTCAAAGCCTACGTCATTCATACGCTCAAGAATCTTCGTATTTGATATCACTAACTCTCGATACAGAAAGGCTGTTAAGCTCATCTAAGACAGGCAGAAGCATGTTCAAGAGACTTGACGCCCCCAAGAGGCTTTCAAGGATTTTCCATTGGGGCATTTTATGCAGGGGTAATAGAAAACTCGATGATTCTCAAGGCGATCACGTTTGAGACGTCTGCAAAGTAGGATAGAAGTGCGTCAGATTATACGCTTGAACCTACTCACGACAGAGAAACCCTTTGAAGCGTGCACGCTGTACACGCATGAATTGGCTGTATAATATATTGACGTCTATTTTCTGTCCTTTTCTATGGGAACAGCAATCTTGATCTTCACGCTGGCTTATTGGACTATTTGCCGATGAAAGCGCCATCCTGAGGCATGCTTCTCTACGCAAAGCGGCGCCTTCAATGTGAGCCTCGATAGCGACATTTCTAATCAATTCTGAGCTCTGCACCATATCTTGTTACTCAAATCAGGTTGTGCCAGTGAAAGGCATTTCATCTTGTGCTGTCTATTCTAGGGGATTTCTTGGGTTGCCAGGCCATGTTACGGTATCACATTCAATGCTTTTTGAATATTTGGTTTCCTGGGATCGACCTTGATTGATGGCAGACGCACTTGTCTCGGGTACTGTTCTAGTATTCTAGCCGCGATGTGACGCACTACTCCCCAGAAGTGTTCATGATCCGTGTGGCTGTGGTTGGGTCAACTCCAGCGCGTCTAACTTATCGACAACATAATGTTTTTAAGCTGACGATGTTTGTCTGAGCCTACTCGATGCTTCATTCTTCTAGTACAATATTAACAGTAGCCTTTGCACTTTTACAAATGCCGCTTCACTTCATCTTGAGTATTCTCTACTACCTCTCAAAATGTACCCCGCATTTCCGCGGGCGCGTTCACGGTCGCTGCTTTTTACAACATGCCTACACATGTCATTCATCCCCATATCACTCGCAAATAACATGGGAGAAAGAAGGGAAATCGCACGGCCGTCTATTCGTACAGTTGAGCTGGCACTCAAACACCTCCGCACTATCCAGCGCAGCTGTCAGATTCCGTCGCTTGGCCCACAAATTCCAGTCTCAACTTCTGTTGACTCTTGCTTCGGCCGCGAGAACTGCTGCCCAGGATACTCCACCAGAGCCTTCCGCACTGTCCGCCGATTACATACTCAGAGCAGCCTCGCAGCATCGTCAACTAGAAGAGCTGCCCGGCGGATGATTTCACAATTTCTAGCTCGGAAAAAAGAACGGATCTCACAAGCTCCCTGTAACAGATGTTCAAGGTAGCAAATTAGATAGAAATGGTCACCTTGTACAGAGGGGTTTTGAGTTCATGAGTGCCAGACAAGTGTACAATCCCATTTTCTTTTTGTACACGAGCAACCCGCCATATCCTCTCGGACTGTCTGTGCCTACGAATCGATACAGTAAGAACTGATAGCTCACCTCCTTCATTCTCAGATGATCCCGCGTAGTCCTCACCGTCTTCTCGTCTACACTTGCCCTGGAATGAATCATATCTGTCTTTGTCGCATAAGTGCGCTATATGGGGTGTGATAGATGCAATAGTCATAACATCGACAGCGAGACCAACAAGACTCATACTGCAGACAGCTTGGCCGAATGGATTCAAGAGCAGCGAGCAGGTAGGGCTTACAGTCCGAGTACCATATCATTTGCCGCGTCAAGCTGCCTACTGGCCAATCTGGTTGGATCATTGAAAACACAAGTACGGCAAACACATGCCAGCTAGGCACAAATATATCTACAATATCAAAGTATCTGACATACGGTAATACTCGCCGCAGTTTAGGACTTTCTCACTTGCTTTAGTATTCTCACAGACGCAATGATGGATCGTGGAAGGTGATGATTACATATTGCTGCTTTCTATCTGTACATATCAGCTGAGCTCAGGCAATGTGCTGTTTGGCATGAACCTAGAGAATCTGATAGCTCGCGGAGAACACCGAAGTGGTCTTTCCGATTGGAGGTTTCAGCTATCTTAGGAACTTGGATCTCCATGTCGCAAATCCTGCAGGGATTATTGGTGTTCAAAGCCGTAGCTCAGTTCCAATAGCTATGGCAGGACAGAACGCATCTACGGTAGGACTTTACTTATTGTAAGGGTTTCAAAGGGGCTGTGGAAGTGTGAAACGAGCTGAGCGCGAGCGCTACGCCAGCCCTCTTTTGTGGCTAGTCCTCGGAAACGATCGCTTGATTGCAGTGAAAGGAATAGGACGAGTTTTGAATGGTGTCTTTTTCGACTCTTGAGTGCTTTTCAAAGTGTTTGAACTGTGCCAAATGCCTAGGGTTCCCTGACATATTAGTGGGCGTTGTAAGTTTACGTTGCAGACCGTATCCCACTTCAGCCTCTGTCTGAGAAGCTACGTATAGGAATAATCCTTTTGCGGGGTTGGATGGTTTGCGTTAACCTCAAACCCAAGTTAGTAGCTGTAAATACTGTTGTTGATCCTGGAGCAACAAAGCTGCCGCAAGCGTCTGGGCCGGGTTGTTTTTCTGCGTCCAGTTTCTATGCCCACGAGAGGTAACTAGGCGAAAGTCACGAATATCACCATGAAGCGGCATATTCTGGGTCAAATGAAGCCACAATTAGCTTTCAGAGAATGAGAGGCGGGTTGGATCATGTTAAGGAGACTGCACCAGCAGCATGACAGCTCGTTCATATCGCTCGTTCTTTGCCGCTAGGATGCACATGGTGCGATAAAAGAACCTCTGTTTACATGGCCGCCAATGCAATTGCAGGACTACTGCTGGCTGTATATGACTTTGGCTCTACGCGGGAGTTTTTCACTGCGAACAGGTTGTGAATCCACAGTAAAGTTTTTATGAATTGAGAGTTTTGCATTGCCAGAAGTGGCAGCTGGTAGAGCTGGTAGAGGTTTACGTTATGTCGCTGCCGCCCCCCCAGCCGGAAACTCTGGGTAGAAAACGTACATCCGTGTGAGCATGTAATATTGCATGAGGCAAGGCAGCTTCGCGTCGGCTGTTGGGAAAATTGCCTGTTCTTCGTGATCTTTGGTCTTTCTCTCTCCGCTTTAATTAAACTTTTCCTTCTCAAGTGGTCTCTGCAAGTCTCTTGCGGGCGTTAACCAAACTTGAGCCGTCTTTCCATTGTTTCGCCCGCTTGTGGGTGGAGCACGACAGTATGTGACTGCTTTGGGTTTGTTCAAAGACTCCCATAACAGCGGAAACTACTCTAAAACTAGGGGTGCATCTTACAGGCTCGTCTTCTCCATGATTATCGAACGTGTTCGTACTCGTAATCAGGCGAGACCTCAAGGACAAGCCGTGCTAGACACTCGAAACATCTTTGCAGCTCTGTGTCTGACCTGGACAGCGTAAAGGCTGTGGCATGAAGTCATAGGCTGTGGCATGAAGTCATCCTGTCCGTCTCCCGCCATGCCTCAATTTCGACAACATTTACAACCTTCAAAAATACCCAAAGAGAGTGAATGCATTTAAAAATGAGTATGATAACTCTCTGAGGGTTGAAATTAGTCCTGACACAAGCTTGCAGTTCCTGGACCTCCTTAGACCCCTTTTGGTCTAGTGATATGAGTGATGGGGCGGCGACCTGGCCCGATCTTCAACTGCTAAGTCGCCCGAGATGCTCCCTCTGCCTCGTGCTTGTACACTCATCAGCATCGCAAGAGACATTTTCGCCCAAGCGAGTATTGACTCGTCCCCCATAGACTTCTCATTACAGTTTGCTAATTTGCGCTTGGGCTTCATGGATTGATCGAACATTCCACCGTTCTGAGTTTCAAGACAGTGTCGCGGCGCTGTGGCAGCCTGTTGGCCGACTTCGCCAACGTTATTGCACCATTCCAATGACTGAGTGTCCGGCG